TAGCACTTCCTGCAGTTGCAGGGAAAAGTGCCGGGTGTGGTGGGGCTGGAGACGAGTGTGGAGTGGACAAGGGAGTCGCGGAGAGAGTGGTCCCTCCTGAAAGCAGATAAGGGTGGGGAAGGAAAATGTCTTTGGTGGTGGGGTCGGATTGCAGATGGCAGAAGTGTCGGAGGATGATGCGTTGGATCCGGAGTTTGGTGAGGTGGTACGTGAGGACGAGGGGGATTGTGTTTTGGTTATTATTGTGGGGAGGGGGTGTGAGGGATGAGTTGCGGGAAATGTGAGAGACACGGTCGAGGGTGTTTTCAACCATTGTGGAGGGGAAGTTGCGGTCCTTGAAAAATTAGGACATCTGGGATGTCCGGGAGTGGAATGTCTCATCTCAGGAGCAGATGCAGCAGAGGCGAAGGAATTGGGAATAGGGGATGGCCTTTTTGCAGGAAGGTGGGTGAGAGGAGGTGTACTCTAGGTAGCTGTGGGAGTCGGTAGGCTTGAAATGGATATCGGTTTCCAGGTGGTTGCCAGAGAGTGAAATAGAGAGGTCCAGGAAGGACAGAGAGGTATCAGAGATGGTCCAGGTGAACTTAAGGTTGGTGTGGAAGGTGTTAGTGAAGTGGATGAACTGTTCGAGCTCCTTGTGGGAGCACGAGGCGATGCCAATACAGTCATCGATGTAATGGAGGACGAGGTGGGGGATAGGGCCAGTGTAGCTTTGGAAGAGGGATTGTTCCATGTATCCTACAAAGAGGCAGGCATAGCTTGGGCCCATGCAGGTACCCATGTCCACCCCCTTTGTCTGTAGGAAGTGGGAGCAATGGAAGGATAAGTTGTTAAGGTTGAGGACTAGCTCAGCTAAGCGGATAAGGGTGTCAGTGGAGGGGGACTGGTCGGGCCTGTGGGACAGGAAGAAGCGGAGGGCCTTTAGGCCATCTGCATGGGGAATGCAAGTATATAGGGACTGGACGTCCATGGTAAAGATGGGATGTTAGGGACCAGGGAATTGGAAGTTTTGGAGGAGGTGGAGGGCGTGGGTGGTGTCACGGACATAGGTGGGGAGTTCTTGGACCAAGAGGGAGAAAATGGAGTCGAGATAAGTAGAGATAAGTTCGGTGGGGCAGGAGCAGGCGGAGACAATGGGTCGACCAGGGCATTCAGGTTTGTGGATTTTGGGAAGGAGATAGAAGCGGGCAGTGTGGGGTTGGGGAACGATGAGTTTGGAGGCTGTGGGTGGGAGGTCACCTGAGGTAATGAAGTTGTGGATGGTTTGGGAGATGATGTTTTGGTGGTCGGGGGTGGGGTCATGATCAAGGGGGCGGTAGGTGGTGGTGTCGGAGAGTTGGCGCCTGGCCTCGGCGATGTAGAGGTCAGTGCGCCATAGTACAACTGTGCCTCCCTTGTCTGCGGCTTTTATGGTGAGGTTGGGATTGGAGCGGAGGGAGCGGAGGGCTGCATGTTCTGTGGGGGAGAGGTTGGAGTGGGTGAGAGGGGTGGAGACGCTGAGGCGATCGATGTCCACATCGCCGAGGCCAGGCGCCAACTCTCCAAGTCATCTCATGGTTTGCTTTTGGTTAGTGAATTGGAGACTATTTACATGCAAGTTAAAGCATGAAGAAGGAGTGCTTACAGAAGGTTTATTCCTCAGAAGCATTCTGGAGCATCTTGCTTTTTGTTGTTCAGTTTATTCATTGTCACACTTCAATTACAATTTGATCCCTACAGTGGGTTTGATTGGCAGATATATCTGACAATCCTGAGGACACAGGCTTTCGACCAATTGTGGTATCTTTTGGTTTGGCCAGGGGTCACTTGTTAGAGGTTTATATAAGCCTTGTGTCTCTGTCTGCAGTCAGATTCTCAAATAACCAGTACCACACTGGTTTGTATTATTTAAATTTCATGTTATCTAAGGTTTTGGAGTAAATCTGTAGCTCGGGTTGTGGGTGTTGAGGTTGGTTGGCTCACTGAGCTGGTTTGTTGTTCTGCAGACGTTTCGTTACCATGCTTGGTAACATCCTCAGTGCAGCCTCTGATGAAGCGTCGGTGTGTTTTCCCGCCTGGTTTTTAAACTCTGGGGTCCGTTGCGATGGATTGCCTCACTTCCGGGTTTCCTCCGTAGTGGAATGTATATGGGGTCGAGTTCAATGTGTTTATTAATAGCATGCTTCGTGGAATGCCAAGTTTCCAGGAATTCTCGTGCTTGTCTCTGCCTAGCCTGTCCCAGGATCTTGGTGTTGTCCCAGTCGAAGTCATGGTTCTCCTTGTCCATGTGGATTGAGATGAGTGAGTATTGGTCTTGTCTTTTTTTAGCCAGTTGGTGTTCATGTACTCTTGCTGTTAGTTTCCTTCCTGTTTGTCCAATGTAGTGTTTCTCGCAGTCTCTGCAGGGGATCTTGTAGATGACATTGGTCCTGTCCATGGCGAGGAGTGGGTCTTGAGTTCGGGTGAGCACTTGTTGTAGGGTTGATGTGGGCTTGTGTGCCACTCTGATGCCCAGCGGTCGTAGAAGTCTTCTGGTGAGTTCTGACGTGTTCCTGATGTAGGGTAGTGTGATGAGTGTGTCGGGGCGTGTAGAATCTTTCTGATGCTGTTCCTGTAGGCATCTCCTGACCCAGTTCTTTGGATATCCATTATCCTTGAACACTTGGAAGAGGTATTCCTCCTCCTCTTGGCGTAGTTCCGTGTTGCTGCAGTGTGTTGTTGCCCTTTTAAATAGCGTTTGCACGCAACTTCGTTTGTGTGTGCTGGGATGGTTACTATTGAAGTTCAATACCTGGTCTGTGTGTGTGGCTTTTCAGTGTACTTTCAAAAGCACACCGAAAAAGCCACACACACAGACCAGGTATTGAACTTCAACAGTAACCAT